TGCACCAGGTTGTTATATTGTCTTAGATTATTGAAGGACTAAGATAGTAAGATCTTAATCTTTATATAACCAATGAATAACAATTTTTTCCATATATGATTGAAGGAACATTACTATGTCGGCCGTGGCATGTATGAGAGAACTTCTAGCTTCACCAAGTAATCCCTTTTGATCATTTATATTTGTTCTTCACTATATTCATTTAATGATGTGATATGTTCTTTTATGTGTGTATAATGCTTGACCTTGGAAATACTTTAAGACAACCTCTTGAGAACAATCAAATTAAAGAAGTTAAAAAGATATCAATCATTAACAACATTCAAACCTAAGTTTATGCAGATATATCAAGCATCTCTTTTTTTGTCTGTTTGATTTGGAAATATAAGGGGTTAATGGCCTTAACATATACCAAAAAAATGTAGACTAGAGTGAAGGGCGTAAAAATCACAGATCTGAAAACCCTAACCCATGGCAAAAGTAGATCGGCCGTCGCTACCGCCGGAAGTAGGTCTGCTGCTGCCATGGTCATTCGTCGACGATGCTGTTGTTTGTGGCTCCTCCGTCCCGTTTAAGTTACATATATTGTTAGCCTACGGATAGGCCCCTACAAGTGTAATTAATATTTTACACCCTTTTTGAATCTTGTTTTAATAATGTTTCTATTTATTTTAAGATTTTGTTTTCTTTTATTCTATTATTATTTATGCAACTAAATTTTGTTTTAAAGAATGTTGAATCCTATATATATATGTAAAAGAGGGTTTCAAAGTTGTGGTGACGACACATGTCATGCCACGCGTGCGTAGTACTTGTGGTCACGCCACACGTAAATCACATGACACCAGTACGTCCATCCATGCATGCATAGTTTATTTTGTTTTAAATAATCTTTATTTTTGTTTTTTATAAACTCTTCACTTTCCAACAAAAAATTATTATTTTTATTAACTTTTTATTAACTTTTCACTTTCTGGCTATGTTAAAAAAAATTCATTGTTTTAACATATTTTTAAAATATTCGCAACTATTTCATAATTTCAAAAAATATATAAAATTTATTAATTAAAAAAAGAATGTTGCTTATAATTTTTAAAATTATCCATCATCTGAAAAAACTAATTATATATAAATTTTATCACACGTGCATCTTTATCAACTTCATAACATATTTTAGTTGTTTTTCTTATTACATTACTTATTTTATTATATATTTTTCAGCAAGCTAACAAAGTAAATGTTTAATTGAAGAATTACATGTGGTAATACAAATATGCATTATCTAAGATGTGTCATTCCTTAATTCATCTATTTGAGATTTTTATTTTTATTTTTATTAATTAAACCAATTTTCATTATTATTTTATTTGATGACCATTAATTTTGCATAAAATAATTATGTCATGCAGGCACTCCACCTCCCCGCATGTCATGTGACATGTATATATTTATTATTATTAACGTTTTATAAAAACTTCACTTTCTTAAACCAAATAACCATTATTGTTGAATAAAAAGAACATTATTGTTATCAAATTTTTAAAACAGTATTGTAAAAGAATGTTGAATCCTATATATATATATATATATATATATATATATATATATATATATATATATATATATATATATATGTAAAAGAGGGTTTCAAAGTTGTGGTGACGACACGTGTCATGCCACGCGTGCATACTACTTGTGGTCACACCACACGTAAATCACATGACACCTGTACGTCCATCCATGCATGCATAGTTTATTTTGTATTAAATAATCCTTATTTTTGTTTTTTTATAAACTCTTCACTTTCCAACAAAAAAATATTTTTTTTATCCAACTGCCCAACTGAGATAAGCATCCTCTTCAAGCTTGGAATGACTCTGACGTTTTTCAAAGTCCAAGTGGCTCCAACTGAAGTTTTCAAGTCAATATCCCCCCCATGCCCGTAACATCCAGAATTTCATCGTTACCAAGTCGTACCTTACCAAAGTCCCCAATCTTGAGATTCTTCATCATCTTCATGTTGTGTGTGGCATGAACAGATGTACCAGAATCCATCACCCAGGAATCTATACTACTCTCTACGCTACTGATTAACACATCATCACTATTGTCGTAGTATTCACTTCGTTTTTACCATGCGGACACTGACTTCTAAAATGTCCTGTCTGTTTGCAATCCCAACAGACAATTCCTTCCCGATGCTTGGACTGACTCTTGCCTCTACCACGGTTTCTTTCTCTTTCATTCATTCTTCCTTTACCTTCAGTACTCAACACTGCACTCGAAGAATCCCCTGAACTTCTACGTCCGATGTCTTCACCTAGAATCAAGTCCCGAATTCCTTCAAAAGTAAACTTAGTAGTGCCAGATGCACTACTAACTGCAGTCACTGTTCCAGACCAACTGTCAGGCAAAGAAGATAAAAGCAGCAATGCCTGAAGTTCATCATCAAACTTAATTCCAACTGATCCTAACTGAGTTATGACCGAATTAAACTGGTTGATGTGAATGGTAACTGAAGCACCCTCCCTCATTCTGGTGTTAACCAACTGTCTGATCAAAAACACCTTGTTCAATGTTGAGGGTTTCTCGTACATATTTTACAAAGCTTTCATTAACCCATGCGTAGTCATTTCATTGACTATGTTGAAAGCAACACTCTTCGCCAATGACAACCTTACCACTCCCAAAGCTTTCCTGTCCAAAATCGCCCAATCTGCATCACTCATCTTTTCTGGCCTTTCTCCTGATAACCTCGATTTGCATCTTCCAAAACCCAAAATCACTTCCATCAAACTTTTCAATCTTTATCTTTTCATATGCCATTGTTTCCATACACGGCTGAAAAGCTGATCTGAGATTGAAAAAACCAATAACGAACTAACCTTGGCAGCGGCTATTCAGAACCCTAGCAGCAGCGGCTGTCCACAGCGGCGGCGAGGTAACTGTTCACAAGACAGTACAGACCAAATTCTGCAGCAGAAACTATGACGGTGGCGGAACTGATCTTCAAACCCTTCGAAACCCTAATCTTTGATTTGAACCTGATCTCCACGAACCCGAGGGAAGGCTTCAACAATCACGAACCTAAGGCTCTGATACCAGTTGTTGGGGTATCTAAGAATACTGAATAGCAAACCACAACCAAACAAGAACACACAAAACAGAAATCAAAACGGAGAAAAAACGGAACACAAGATTTATAGTGGTTCGGTCGGCTGACCTAATCCACTTTGCAACTAGGGTTTCTATTATCCAGGTGTTCACAGAATTACAAGTACAGAGATTGCTATTTATGAACACTAAACTAGGGTTGAAAACCTAATCCCCAAGTTAGGCCCAAGCCCACATAGAGAATTAGGGCCGGCTAAATTAAAAAACCTAATTTACTGCCATATGGGTCGAACCAAGACTAGGGCCGGCTGCCCTTCTTGCTCGAGCCTCCACACTCAATTCGCCCAACAAAAGCATGACAATATTTCCAGATCAAGAGTTATGACACAAGACAACTAACTCCATGAAATTATTTTCGGATAGTCAATCATCTTTGAGACAGTTTATCCAAGGAAATTAGCACGTTATTT